CTCCCTCCCTCCCTCCCTCCCTCCTCTCTCGCGCTCTCTCTTTCTCTGCCACTTGCCGAGTATACTCTGTCGCAAAAGTGTGCTCCCCCTTTGGCTCCCCTTTCGCGCCACCCGATCATCCCTTCGCTCTCCCCCTCTCCCGGCGGCTTTGACGTTAATGGTCCATCGATCGGGCGAGAGACAGGTGCGTGGTGGTAGTAAAAATAATCTTGCAGCATACTTATATATACAAAAACTGTCGATCCTCTGCTCGAAATTCATTGTAAGATTAACTCTCGCGTACAAAAAGTTTATCTCTCGCACTCCCGTTCACACAGCTGTTCTTCCTTTTTTTTCATTACGTTTCACTTTCCACTTACGAATAAAAAGAAATATTAAAATGCCAATATGCTAGAGATGGAGTTTCGAACACGCTGTTATAAGATACCCGTTTCGTTTTAAATAACAGAATTTTGCCGGAAATAAGCCCAATTTTAGTGCACTCGTCGCATTTGGCATTCGCTGCTAATGAAGATTTTTTTTATTTTTAATGCGGATTAGTATTTCGCGTAGATATATACCTATAGATACTGATTTTTTCCGCTTATATTTACATCTGCTTTTTATTATACACGCTCATAAAATGCAGTCTATATGACATGCAGTTATTAACGCAAAAAATATTCGTCAATCAAAAGACATCAAGAATTAATATTAATATTAATGTAATTGCGGTCACTTTCGAGTAATTAATTTAAATTCTATATTTGCAGTGTAACCGTTAGAAGCACGAAGTTCATAATTTTTTTGCTCAAAAAGACTCCGTTGATTATAAAATTGAATTTTCCGCTGTAATTAAATTATTTGGATCAACGAGACGACACGGCGCGGACGCGAAATGGGTCGCTTTACGCTTCACCTACAATGAAGAATTTACTTTGTAAATACCGGTTTAAAGTAGCAAATAAAAGGAATTTATTACTCCTTTACACAGCGCAAGAGATCCGAAGATCTATATTAGACCTTTAGGTGCATTAACGCGCGATATATCTATTGATTTCATCACGCGTTGTGTTTCTCACTCTTTTAAATTACACCTGTCATGACCTAAAATCGGACGAATTTTTTTCTTTTTCTTCTATCATTATATAGATCAAATCTCTTCTCTTTTTTCTTATCTTTATGATATCTATTTTTGAAAAGTTCGCGAAATCATATTTTATACGCATACTTTTCACGTTTTTACATTTCTTCACAGATAATTAGTCTTGATTAGTTTGATAGGGAGAAAGAGAACGAGCGATTTCTCTTTGTCAGAGAAACCGAAGCATCAACTGAAGCATTGAATTATGAGCAATTGAATTATGAGCAATGAAAATAGAAGACCTCCTGTAAATTAAGTTTCAGAGGGGTAGATAAGCGGGAGTCTCATTATCTGCCTGGCTTCCAACTTTAATTAAAAAAAAGTTTGATATTATAAACTTGTCTATCGAAATTTAATATTTAAACGTTGCGGAAAACGACAATTTTCCGTTGAATTTCCGCCGGGAGGGGAAGTTTGACTGTGTGTGTGTGTGTGTGTATATATATATATATATTGCGCACAATGCTCGCGAAATATTCTAGACGGAAAAGGAAACACGGATAGCGGATCCGGTATGGCGTAGCCTTTAAAGCGTGATTACAGCACGTGTAAACACTCGGCGTGCATCGAAACACGCCTCGCGTTCTCGTTGGCCTTTCATGTTATGTGACGTGAGAGTGCAAGTGGAGAACAAGTGTTTGTTCGACATACCGCGCACTCTCGGCCGAGTGTATGCGCTCTCATTAGATTTCGTCGACTCTCTCTTCCTCACGCGACACACAACCGTGACTTTTTCGAAGCTGCCGCAACTCTGATACCGGACGCGCGTGAAAGCTTCGCGACTTGATCTATTTTGTCGTGTTTGGTCGGGATGCACACATCCTGCGCACGCTATACACATTGGAAGCACTGAATTTCGCATGCATGGAAAATATCCTGACTTTGCCAGCAAATATTTTTCGAAGACACATGTCCTTATTGCATATCGCTAATAATAGCTGAGATCAATCTGGGCGAGATGCCATTCGGCTTTCAATGTCACGACAGCACGACATTCAGTTTCCATAGCGATTTGTGAGGGTAACATTCAATGTCGTGATGCAATGTCACGCGAAAATGAGCCGGGCGAGCTCGTGCGATAGTTCATCATACGATCATTCTCGTTGACACGCGAAACTAATGCGAAACTATAATTTTATTTTTAGACACGTGCTTACATTTAGAGTAACAGTATCTGGAAAGGAGCGATACATTTGTATGTGGTTAAAAAAATTGAAAAAAATTGCTATCTAGTTTTCGAGATTTGCACTTGAATGAAAATGTTCATGTTGAGCTTGATTACGTAATCCAAATGCAGATGAGTTTTTAAAATTATCAAAAATTAACACATCAACGAATGCACGTGCGTAGTAAAAAGGATTTATATGAAACAATTATGTTATACATGTATGGAGAAACTTTTTTTTTACGTTAAATAGCTGATTCTCACTCGACATAATTATGATATTTCACTGAGGTGTAACTCAATATCTTGTTGCATGTCCCGAAACCTTTGACATGAACTGCGTTTGCTCTTGACAACGTACGTACACCTCCTGTAAACTATATATTAGCTATATAGGTTCGTGTACACGTGTGTATCGATTTAATTATATATGCATTATAACATTATAGGTTAATAACTATCTTTTTAAATGACTTTCGGAAACTTTTTTTTCGCGCCATTATCTCTCAAATTTGTTTCTCATTTATTACAAAAACGAGATTCACACACACGTCGGCTTCAATATAAAATTGCAGTATAAAACAAGTATAAAAGAAGACAAATTTATCTCTATACAAATAGCTATATAGTTCATTTTTTAATATAAATAAACATTGTAATATTACCTCGAGAATAAAGTTATATCTATTAATAATGATTTAAACGAAGAATCTTTTTTATTGCATATTATGAGAAATAATAAATTAAATTTGTATTTTGACGCTATTTAATTTAAATACGTGTAAAACGATATATGTATTATATATGAAGCAATATACTGGAATAATATTTTAATTTATATAAAAAGGAGATATTGAAATGGCTTCCTATATATTGTATGCTCGTAATAATCGAAATAAAAAACGGGACATTATATAACAGGATATTGAAAATTTTATATGAAATTATGTTATAATCATTATGATTGTTTTATATATATCCAATTTCAATCGCTCTTTAATATATTAGCGTAAATATATGTTTGCCAAAATGTTAATTACATCACAATCAAAATGAGCAACTTTCTTCTATGCAGCGCGTGATATCCCTATACAATTAATTGATCGATTAATTAGTCATGATCGTATATTAACGAATCCAGATAAATATTAAAATGGACTAGAATTAGATTCAAATATTAAATGTATTTAGTGGGGAAAAAATTTTTTTTATTCGTTTTCTGTTAATAAACACAGACGCGAAACGGAACAGCGACGTATTGTGCAACGGATGAATATTCACGCACGATAATTTCGCGCCCGCACATGACTAATTCGTACACGTTTCTGCAGATGATCGAGTGCTACTCGTATAACAATTCACGGCCGTTTCGTTGCGGCCTTTTGTTACGTTTGGCCTGTTTCATTTGGCGAAAGTCGCGTTAAATTGATCGACGAGAAAAGGGCAGGATTTCCCGCGCTGGCCCAGTGTATGTCTTTTCAATTTATATATTTACGATATGCCATCCATCGAACATCGTTGATCAATTTACCATACGTTATAATTTAAATTTATATTTTGCTTAAAATATTTTTGATTAAACATTTGAATTATATGTTGATATATTTTATTTGCTTATTTTTTGTTTCTTTATTTATTTTATTTTATTTAATATTGTAGAGTTATAGGTCATTATTAAAAAAAAATACGCTACGAGATTTTCAAGTGTGATTAAGGTTGACAAGCAATATTCCAATTAAGGGGGAAGCACCTTTCCATTGTATACGTTTTTACAATCACTCAACTCAAAACTCAAATCACTCACCACTACCACCGAGTAGAGAATCTTCGCTTTTAAATCAGGAGCGTCCTTGAGGGGCTCCAGCGCGTCCAGAGCATCCAGGGTGTGCAAGTTGGCCTGGGCATAGAGAGCGCCGTATCTCTCGGCGAGCTGTTCCACTGTGATATTGGCCGAGGTTAAACCTGAGCAATTTTCTTCCGCGCTGAGTACCTCGCAGTTGCTGCCAGTCACAACCGGCTCCGGCGTCGGGCTGCAACTCTCGTCCGTGTGGTAGCCGGCGCTGCTGGACTCCTCCTCGTAGTCGTCGCCGAGATTTTCGTCTAGATGGAAAACCTGCACGGGATAGCTCGTGATGTAGAAACAAACTTTAGACAGACGTACGAAGTGCTTGATTATGAAACGTCTCCTTTTCTCTTCCGACAGTTTCGTACATTTTTGAATATTTATATATATTCGAGTATTTATTTCCATACCCAAGTATTTATTTTCTTTTGCAATGAACGTTTCTCTTAACTAAATGTCCTGAAAATTGGAGAATATATATCGGAATAAACTGAATCGCGAGAACCATGTTGGTATTTATTTTGTTCACGAACGAGACTAATTGTTTTATCAGTCACTATCGGCATTTTAATTTTTATCATCACATGTTAAATTTATAAGAAAAAAAAACTTATTGGAAAAAGATACTGTTTTTCCTTTCACGCAAATTACGTTATATTATCGTATGAAAAACCAGAACATTATTATCACCACGTGAAAGCAATTGAGTGAACTATTGCGCGTACTGTGGAGAAACTACTGAACAATCCGCAGCATCCACTCTTCGATCCACTCGTTTTCGATTGGGATTTGCAGTCGACTCTGATTGTGAGCTTCCAATTAAAATGCACTCAATGGAAAGCAATTAACGCGTTTTGGCATGTGGCCGGTTTTTCAATCTGATTCTGTTATATAACAATTTAGGCGCCACTTTTCCACCCTTTTTACAATTCGCCGTCATCACCGTCTGCAAATGCAAGTAAATAAGATAATTATTCACGTGTATTTTTGTTTGCAATTTGACGAGAGTAACGCAATCGTGGAATGCACGCGCGCGTTCATTATCGAGAATCCGTTTAAACACCTGACGATAGCAGGACTCGCCGAATTTCCAACCGAATTCTCGCTCTAAATTTCGTGAAAGGGTGAACGTTGTGCGTTTGCTGAAAACATTTTAGACGCCCCGTCGTGTCGGATACCCCGGTCCTCGACGTATCCAGCACGTGAACGTGGTTATTTTCGTCATCAAAGCGTCGGCCCTTCCTTTCCTGTCTCGCTCGAAAAGAGGGAAACCAAAAGGTAATGTGCAAACTAATTTGGCCGTTCGTATTGCCCGGCGAAATAGAAATTGCTATTCTCTTTGCAGACGGACGTGTTACACGTGTCGCGTCACGTAAATCGCACATATCGCCGCGTTGTGTTTCGCGTGTTTTTTTTCCCGAAAACGCCGCTGAAAAACCCCAGGCGTATCAGCCGACGACGACGCGGATTCAATTTGCAATCTTTATTGCGCGTCCGCGAAGCTCGCCGCGCGACGAACGAGACGCGCCAGTCGGACGCGTGAAATATTTATCACGTGTGCGTCGCCATTTCCCAACGGCGTTAATTTATGACTTGGCATTAATACACGCGATATTAATCATAATGTATTAACGCTTCACGTACATTAATACTTCGCGCGCGCTCGAAAACATTTCTCTCATGAATATTGTATATTGACTTTACGATAAATTCGACAGAACAATATTATTCAAAACTCCGCGTAATCGCGTTCTCGATCTAAATTGTGAAAAAAGAATCGTGCGAGGTGTACGATGGAATTTGCAATAAATCGCGCCGCTCAGGGATACGCACTCGCTTTTCCACTCGAGTAAAAAGTAACTTTTTTTTATTTGATTCGCATTAATGGCAGGCTGTCTCGCGCGTATCCCGCGTATTATTATACCGAACCGCATATATGCGAGCGCATGTAGGCCATTTAATGCCGTGTAATGATATTTTATTCCCGACTCAAGTTTCAGAACGACGATGCTCGAAATCAAACGCGAATACACGCTATGTGCTACATAGCCATCGAGAGAAATAATTTATGTCCGCGCAGCATAATTCCCGCGCGGAGTTTCTGCTCGCCCAAGTATAAACACCGATCTCTCATATACGTACACACGTTATATCGTATTCGCTTTTAATACCCGTCTGTATCCTATGTATCCAGGTTGTCATACGATTCTTGTTTACTTATTAATTCGCGTGCGAAACTCATTTCCAGGATTGATATCGAGTTGCTTGCACGGCTTGCGCGCGCTACTGTCATCTTAAACTGAGAGTAGTCGAATGTAAGCAGGTATATACCGGCGTAAACTCGTGTAATTTAGGTTCGCCGTAGGGTCCTTATGGGATTTCACGGTGGTTACACACGGGCACCTTTGACATCGTCCGTGGGTCGTCTTGGACGTGTGTTAGCTGCCGGAATCGCAGGTCGCAATCCCACGGGAATCGTAGCACTTGCGCGTGTTGCGTTGTCGTATGTTTCGGGGTTATTTTCTCGCGCTTGACGGCGCAGGTTTTTCACCGTTTCTTATTGTTTCGGCTGACCCGGTACGAATTTCTCATGGAACCCCTCTCTTCCCCCTTCCCCTCCCCAAAAAAAACAAATCGTAATCGTATATTCGACGCGCCCATTGTTCCAGCAATTCGCCGTTTCTGTGCCAAACCTTTTCACGCATTTTTACGCTTGAGACAGTCGTGCGAATTGTTTCGTGGGTAGACAGTATTAATCGACGAAGACTCTATTGCGCGAGTATTGTTGGGATCCCGAAGTATTTATTTCTTCATTTATCTAAAGTTGGATTTCTCCTACAAATATCATTTCTCTCCGTAAATACTGTTTCTGTGTTGATCTCTAAAATCAACTTCATCTAATCCTTTTCACAAGAATCCAGCCGGAAGAAGGGAATGTTCCCTTGCGGATTTTTGAAGATTAAATTTCGAGAGCATCCCCGCCGACGGAAATGTTTTAATCTCACCTGCGGATTATCCTCGCTCATGAATTGCAGGGCGAGCGCGCAGCCCCTCGAAAACTGCAACAATCTGGCGGCGAGGGCCGGATTCTTCACGTTCGTCGGTCCGGAGGTAGATTTCCTCAAGGCCATCCATTCCCGGAGCGCCTCCTTATCCTGCTCGACCCGGCGCTTCAGCTCCTCTAGCAGATTCTCCAAGCTGCACGGCCCGCCCGCTTTCTCCAAGGTGTTCAGCAGGCTCTGATTATCGATCAGCCGCTGCTGGATCTCGCTGTACTTCAGGGAAAGCTGCCGCTGATGCGAAGCCGCCTGTACACCTTGATCCGCTATAAAAGCGTAAGAAAAGATCAGAGCTTCTCTCTCTCTCTCTCTCTCTCTCTCTTCGGTCGTTATTATTATTTTTTATTATTAGAGCGGAATGATGGCGCGAGGCGATTATTACTGCATCCACCGTCGCCTTTTTACGGTGCCTCGGGCTACGTAGATAGCCGGCCCGATATCCGGCATGAACAGCGAAATCGCGGAGAGTATCTGACATCATAACTAAATATGCCACACTTTCCTTTATATAATGAGGCGAGATTAAATTATGCGGCATATCCGCACTCTCGCGCACGAGGCATAAATTGCGACAGGTTTATGCTCCAATAAGTTACAGTTCGGACACACGACAGTCTACTCCCATTATATCATAACTAATATATGGACACCTTTTTTTTTGTTCTAATCGATAAAACCGTAAAATAATTTCTACCTTCTATCAAGAAATTAATCAAAGATATTAATTTCACTTGTACGTATTAGCTTGTGTTAAATCAAAAAAATAAATGAGGCAAATAAACTTACATGAAGGCGTTATAGAGATGATTAATAATATGAAACTGATTAATCGAAATAGTTTTGTTGGCAATTAAAGGATAATGATCAAAGACGGGAATCAATTGCAAAAATAAATTGTTAAAGATTATCTGTGTAAAAGAAAATATAAGAAGTTGACTATTTTGAAAAATTATAATTACTGACATCTTAGACTTTTTTTCACGGTAGGATACCGTGAAAGTAACATTTCTCCGCGTGTTTATCAATATTTATGCGCTGTCGCTTATCTTTCTACGCACATTTCTCTCATCTCTGGAACCTTTCTCCGCGGAAACGTACCGGCGATGACGCGTCTCGAATTAAGCGTCGTGGGAAGTTATCCACGAACGAGAGAACGGTGGCAGTCTCCTATGTAAATGGCTTAACACGCGCCCGACATTAGTCCATTTGCATTTGCAAACGTAACGCGGCGCTTCGCTCGTGGCTCCGTTAAAATCCAATGCTTCACGGTTCCGCGTTGGAGTTCCAGATATATACATATGCGGTACGACGGAACAAACGGCCGCACAACTTTATTCCGATGGAATTAGCGATGCGCGCTAATCCCATCGGCAGCGCAGCCGACGACAATTATGCGCTTCACTGTGAACCGCCGCGATCGTCGTAAATGTCAAATCTCGTGTGAAAATCCGCGCGAATTCGTGTAAAAAAAAATATATAATCGTGAAATATTGCTTCGCTAATCTAATATTACGCTCGTTACCAACGATAATTAACACTCATTTTTCAAATAATTAAACACATAATTGAGGGATAGATGGTTATCATCTATCTTCGTCGCTATCGATTAACTACACTGGTTTCCGCATAAAATTGGAATACTGAAATTTGATTTATGATTATAGTTCTTAGATTATTGTCACCGTGTGAAATTCGCGTAATATTATTACTTTAATTTGAAGCTCTGTCAGATGATATTCTAAATACTTATAAATGTAAAAATTCAATAATACAAGATTATAGAAGCAATTTTGTTATTTGATTCGTAACTCGCATTAACGTCTGAGAGCCTCTTATAACGCGGTCTTTAATCTTAACAACAATTTGAAGCATGTACCTTTATTGCTCCCAGCGTGCTTGCCGAAGTTCTCGATCTTGTGCAACGCTAATTTGTATGCTTCCGTTCGCGTCTCGAGCTCCTCTTTCAGTGCCACCGGCAGTGGCACTAGATTTGGCGTAACGGAATTCTCGGAGATGTTTGTCTGCGAGGATGGCACTAGTCCGTGCTTGCCGAGTCCTTCTACAGCTCTCTCCAGAGCACGTCTCCTTGATAGCAGCGTGCTCTTCGTGTTGGGCGATAATCTGTTCAATGACACGAGAAGTTTACACCAGATCCGCGGTCGGAAGTGATCCTGACTAGTCGATATCAGATGCACTATCCTCCAGAGGACCTGCTCGATCCGCAGGATCTTCATATCGCTGACGTTCAGTTCCACCAGTCGGGAGTAGAGCGCCTCCAGCAAGGTGAGGCTGTGCGGTAGCGTTTCGATCAACAGGTCCACCGGAATATCCGGCAGTGCAGCCTTTAAGGTGTAATGCGGCAGCTTCATCAGGAAGCCGGCGGCTTCCCTGTATTGTCTGCCCTCGTACAACCTCAGCAGTCTGAAAGAAAAAGGATGTAATTATCGTGTTATCCTGTCAGCGGTAATGTGTCGGTAGAAATTCGTGAACGTTGTAGAACAGCATCAGGAAAACAAAATCAAGCGATAACCGTAGAGAGACGCGAACTAATTAATCTCTGCGGTTACGTGCTAGATGTAATAATGTTTATTCGTGATAACGAAAATTACTTCGATAACTGATGTAAAATATGTTATGCAATATTTACAACAGCAAAGAGTTTTACATGTCAAGAATTTTTATCGCGCTTTCAACATTTTTGATTATTGTTTTTATGCCATTAGATACGATCTCTTCATGTCAGATAAACAATATCTACACAGAGTCAGACAAACGCACAATCGCATCAAATGTGATAAAAATTACATTTTTATGTAAAATTTTATCGCGATCGAGTGTTTTATAAACTCGTTCTCTTCGGAAATACAATAGGATCTATAATTTTATAGTATGGATTCTTAAATAGCAGTTATTGGACGTATAATAAAGCTGAGAATTATGTGATTATGTGAATTTGCGAAGATTTGTAGAAATATCGATATCGGTATGTATAAGGTTGCGTCAACATATTATATGAGCAGTACAACAGATTGCGTGGTAGATTTTGCAGGGACAGGTGCGTCTCAAGTAGATAGTTATGGCGTATACATATGGCGTATACCGTCATAATTTACCGATCGTCTTTATATACCTTAAGGCCAAATCACACTAGCGATTGCCGATTGGATTGCAATTGTGACTGACGATTGGCGATTACTTTTTAATCAATCAGAGCAAAGCAGTCGCCGATTGAGATTAGTAAATAATTGCCGTTTAGACAATGCTCTATTCTAATCGCCAATCACAATCGCAATTCAATCGGTAATCGCTAGTGTGATTTAGCCTTTAGTAAAGTTTGCGTTTCAATTATGATGGACTTGGATAGTATTCGTCACACAACCAGTCATACTGCCTAATATGTTGATGCAAAACCCTGTACGCTAATAATTCACATTGAACAATTGCAGTTTGAATTTATGAAGTTGTTGGTGATGCCTACGCAATTCAACTTTTGAACAGAAATATATACAAATGTCTCGCGCGATTAATGTTCCATTGTGTATCTGATATTTTATTTTATTATGTATGAAATGTAATAGAATGCAAATCAGGAAAAGCGGGACTAAATAAAATTACATACTGCTCTACAATCCGATTACGTGATTGAATAAATTGAAATCTGAGTGAATTCAGGAAATATAAAAATATAAGTCACGGTATATTAAATCGCGTATTAAATCGAAATTAAAGTTACAGCCGACCGTTATATATATATATATATATATATATATAAATATTAATATACGTACATTTAAAAATCTTATATAAAAAGCAAGATTATTGTAAAACGCACTTAATTGAATGCACTTGAAACAAGCTTATGAATTTTATTAGATGAAAGTAGATAAAGTTTCACCTAATTCACTATTAATAAAAATCGTAATACACAATTCCATTGTGCGATACGCACGTGATTATGGATTAATGAGCCGCATTAAGGCTGCCATCGGCGCTAATTACCTATAGCTCGCTGGTCTTGCGCAAGCGCAACAATCAATCAGTATAGTGGCGAGTTACCGTTATTAAGAAGTTGCGCGTCGAGAGGACGTGTTTAATTTATCTCGCCTCACGGACAAATAGGTTCGCCGGCGATTTATTACCGGGCGAATTACTCCTATTAGGAAGCGGCGGCGCTAAGCGGATTTGTCGCGCGGCTCCGCGAGCTCGCGTCTCCATTTCCGTTATTATGCGGGAATAATTCTCACCGTTGCTTTTTGCAATCCGCGGTTACCATACGTGTTATTGATCGATCGTCTTCGTGTGATTGATTGTCACGGCGATTCCCCTCTCGCGGTGCTCCATTAGTGCGCGCGCGACGCGCGCGCATAGCGGGATTAAGTAAACCTATTACACGTCGCGACTGTCTGTCTGACGGATACGGCGATAATTATCCCTGATTCTTGGTTCGCGAGCGGAGCATATACAATGCGATTCGATACCTAATTGCCGTAGTTACACGCAGACAGCGAAGCGTCGCGATCTCACGACGTATACGCGCTAATCAAAATGTAATTATAAATCGTGCTATTGCCTCGTAAAATCCTTTGTCACGATTCTTCTCGTAAGTGCGATGCATACCTAAAAGTGCACAGTGCTCCGGTAACCGCAGAGATTGCGCGTTATTCTTAATTAGCAGCTTCAGTATGTTCATTATACAAGATGACATATCTGGAACGTAAGGACATCGCAAAAGCAAAAATATGCGCATCGCTTTGAAAGACATGTTCTTATCCAGGAGGATAATTAAAACTGATTTGTTAAAAGCGCGAAAAGTTTCTCTAACAGTAATTCTCATACCGTTTTTTTTATCGTGATTTTTAAAAATATAAAACATCTTTATATATAAACAAAATTTTGAAGTCTCAATAGTGCTCACATGCTCATTTCCTATAAAATTTTTTCTAACAAATTTTACTCTATAATTTTTAAAAGATTGTGCAAATATTATCGCTTTTTCACAAACCGTAACATGTACGATTACATATCTGCGGAAGGTTTGAGAATCACTGGCTCCGAAACACTAAGATTGAAAAAATATAGATCCGAGTTAATAACTTGCGCAAAATACGATCCACATACCTTCTTAACGCCATCCGCGGATTCGAGCCTTCATCCTCCGGGATGCCGATATGACCGACCTGGAACTGCGTTCCGGGACCCCATACCAGCCTCTGTATCGTATTTCTGGGTCGCTCCGGTCTGATCCTCTCGCAGGAATTGATGCCTGGGGGTGGTACACTTTGCCTGCTCATCTTCGTCCGCACTTCGCCGCCTTATTTTCCTATCTCCCTTCGACGTGTAGGCGCCGGACCCCGTATTTATTTATTCCCCTCGCGGGACGAGGGTTAAAAACGCCACTCGAGAATCGCCTTTACGACGGTCTCACTCGACGGCGACACACCACTTCGAGACACATCCACTTCTCTCGAGTCGGCTTCTCTTCTTTACCTTCCGCTTCGTAAACTTTCACGGTCCCTTTCTCTCTGTCCTCGATGCGATCTTTGACCTATCAGCCACGCGTCTTCGCGAACTTTGGATCGTCGTCCAACCTACTGTGTATTCTCTCGCAAATTGATACTTTTTACGATGTATTTTCAACGCTGAGTCGATCGCAACGATGTCTTTTGTCCATTTATTTGCGTACCCTGCTTTCGAGCTTTTGTCAGCCAAATTGATTTCAAATGTTCTGTGAAGGGCGATTTTTCTTCTCTTTATATATAGATAGAAATTTTGTACAATTTTTATAAATTTGTTATCTACATAAGTATGTTATGATTGTAAATTTATTCATCGAGAGAGTGATTTCTAAGATTATTTGTTTGTTTGCACCGTGAGAACAGGTTCTTCAGGCACATGCCACCGTGGTCAATTTCTCCTAAGTAAATAAGTAAAATTTCTCCAGTAATACTACTCTCGTTTGAATCAATATCTACATCAATATTATTCCTTGATTACGCTCGTTCCACTCGCATACCCTGCATATGTCGAATTTATTAGCACGTGTTTAATTACTTGGCTTTCTCGTTTTTCAAATTGACCTCTGGGATTATCGTAAGTAAAATTTCTCTCCGACGCATAGAAATACAAGTATCGAAATTACTTTCTAAAAACAGCTTTTTCTTTTTACATCTCGCAGCGGACGTATGAAATATCTTCGTGTCGGTGTATTATGGAATAATATTTAAAAATCGACTCTTTTCATAATCGTATCCATTAAAGCGACGCGTGCTGATTACTTTCTCGCTCAACCTCTCGTTTTTCTTTTCGCTTTGACTTCACTTCGTCCTTGGCGAGGTTAGTCCCTTCCTTTCTCTCCCTCACGATTTTCCGCACGTCTGGTCCACGGCAGAAACGTTAGCTGCCTCGGGGCAGACCGGCGTCTAATTTTCTAACCGCTATTCTCTCCCGCACAGACTTCTCTTCGCAATTCCCCGCTCAGAAACAGCCGGCAGGAACACATTTCATTCCTGATTCGCAGACGCTGTGTTCATCGGGTCTTTCAACCTCGTTTCTTCACTTGTTGAATCATGATCTCCGCTCGGTATCGACGCGGGTACCTCTAAGCCAGTCTCATTATCGTCACGCAATTATCTTCGCGGCTTGCACACGTCGCTCGATCTTTAGAACGATCTCTCTCTCTCTCTCTTTCTTTGCCGATTCTCCTTTTTTTTGTGGACCATAAGGTGCCCGGGACCGGTTAATCTTTCGGCTTTCTTTTCTTCCCTCTAGCAAAATCCACTTCCTTCTCTCTCGCTCCTTCGGATCTCGTCTCTTTCTTACGAATTTCCTTCCGCCTGGTCCTCGAGTACTTAATACGTACTGGCCTACAGCCTCGGGGCTGACCGGCCCACTTCTGCGCGTATCAAGCTGGACCTGCGAACGGAATTATTCACCGTGAGCCGTGAGCCGTGTCTTTATCCGATACGCTCGGGTGAAATGTTTTCTTACATGACTGCCGCAATACAATTCATGTAGGATGTATCGAAGGATCGACATAAATTCACGATATATCTAGGCTTTTCTTGTAAAATAGATGAAACTCGACCATGGTGAAATCGTACTATATATGATATCTTATATTTTATGTAGTGCGTTTGTAGTGTAAATTTTATAAAACATATATGTATGTAGTGCATTCGTGTGTTAAGTATTGCTTCCGAAAATTTTATCGTATATAGATTTTGAACATTTAATATCATTTAAATTCTATTAAAACGAATTTTATAATTGAAAGCAATTAAAAAATTTTGTAAATGAGAAGACTAAATTTTATTTTCTGCGTACGAACGAAACTCAATTTGGAACGTTTTCTATTATGTGATATGAAATATATTTTTAATTAATTAAAATTATTATAGATGCTCGGACTTCTTCAGAAAAATTTTTCTTCATAAAAATTTTATATGAGGGAGAATTGACATTGAGAATGATTCAAAGAACTCAATGTTTAGATACGTGTTTCTTATTTCTTTCGGAAAGCGGGCGCTGCGTCGTAAAACAGAAAAGTGAAGAGACACAAGTAAATTTAAACAAAGTTATAAAAAATAGAATGAGAATCCGGCTATGACAGCTTCCTTGTACATACGCGCGTCTCGGCGGAATAAAATATTTGTTTGGTAGTGATGCGACACCCTATAGCGACAGAAATGGAAGGTCCATGCATGATGTATTGGATCTCGGAACTGTAGTGTATAATCTCGCTGGTGCATCAGACGCGAATGCCTAGCAAATTTCAGTATACCTTTCTTGGAAATGTGCACCTTTTATGATATGATAAAGTTCGCAGATGAGAAAAATTGCACGAAAGATTTTTAGAGAGAGAGAGAGAGAGAGAGAAAGAAATGGAAATATGAGAACATTGTGCATAAATATAAAAATAATTTTTGCAAAAAATAATTTAGAATAATATTAAAAAAATAAGATTATTGTTTTATATACACACACTTATATATATTTTATATATAATCGATAACTATATAAAATTATAGAGTAATAAAATCGTACACACATTGTAATTGTTCGTAAAATTGATCGTTAATCCTTTTTATATGAAAAATATAATATTATCGTTTAAAACATTTTGTTTAAATCTCGAATATGTGGATTATAATTACCGAGTGATGCATAACCACGTTTTTTTTGTTACTATATAAACGTGCATTTAATGAAATTAAAAAAAATTTTTTTACATTTATTATCCCAGGGAGTGAATTCTACGGTTGCATACGGTAACATAAGTTTTTTAATTGCTTGTACATTTATATGAAAGTTTATCGTTCTACATACGAGGATAAATTTCTTATAATTTTTTAACTACTGTGTTAGTTTAATTAAATTATTTTATAGCAATATAGTACTGTAAGGAATTAATATATTATTCATGTGTGTGCCCTTAATAAGAACATTGAGAACTATTAGTAAGTTTGGTCATTAACGTTAATTATAAGTTTTTTTAGAGTAACTCACATGGTCCGAAATTAATTTTTATTCAGGAAATGTGAATTAGATGAATTTAATGTCCTAATATAATTAAAGTATAATTAAAATATTATAACTAAATATTTAATGTCCCAAATTTAATGCCTAGTATAAATTTCAAGTTATTATAAATAAGCACGACAAGCTTATTAATGCTTTAATTATGTATTTATTAGAATTTTATCACCAAATTTTATAAAATCTCAGATATAATTTAATTTTAAATAATGAATTATATGAGAAAAAGGAGAGTTAGTTTATAAAATAAATATATCAAATTAATTTTATAAAATCATTACGAAAAAGAGATTGACAGCAAGATTATCTTGAAATATTGAAAGCTCATACATTGTCCAAGATAAAATGCTATTGTTATTTTATTTTCATACATCTCCCTCATAAAAACTTGATTGTATTAATTGGAAACTTACAAAAGTATTGTAACAATAACGGGAAACATCTTCTGATATCCGATATATCCACACTGCGAATAGATTTCCTCTTCCGAGAGTCAATTTTTGCAAGAGGCCATCTCAGAGCTTTAGGATGACCTCGGATCGTACGATCCGAGATTTTCACAGCTAGCACACGTTCACAATACCGCGGACTCGTTACGCGAGATTGAAGTGATTGAACACGTTCGCACTTATTTAAGACCGGTACTCGCCGGGCTTGCGGCGGCGATGCGTGTTTTTGCTGACGAATTTCGGATGATGCGACATGTCGGCCGCGAATGCGAGTAAGTCGCCGTACGTCTTCGGGGATACGCAAGGTCCCTCGGTTCGGGAGATTGGTGGTGGAAGAAGAGTGGAGGTTCTCTCTCGTGAGGACCGACTCATGCGAGATCATCAAGCACGTGGGATAAAGGGGAACGGGAAGGGGGGAGGTGAGGCAGAGAATGCAGGATCGAGAGGAGATCGAGGTGGTTGGAGTAAGAGCGAAAGAAAAAGAGAGACGGAAAGCGGCGAGAGAGATCACAAAGCGAAAGATAACCACGGATGGAGTCTGTGAATGAGTGAGTGTGAGAGCGAGAGAGAAAGCGGCAGGAAGAGTGAAAGAGCACGGTAGAAAGGTAGATACGTTAAGCGGAGGATGAACAGAAGCCATCTGGCTCCACGGTGATATCTGTGAAGTCGAGAATATACCGGAAGAGGGAACCTTCTCTCGGCTGATGCAGTCAAAGGAAGCGGAAGAGAAGGGAAAAGCGGTTGCGGGAGACAAATGACTCTGAATGCGAATCAGCTGCACAAAACAGCTGTGTGTCGCGACGATGATGCGAAAGTACTCTCTGTACCTTTTTACGCGCGGTACACCAGCAAATCTCCGTTCTTGTGTCGACGTTATGAAAATTATTACTTGCGTGTTGTACGGAGAACATTTTTTACACAACATGGTTAATTCATCCGTTAGAGAGCCGAAGTAACGTGTTTTAACAAGCTCCCCCGGCTATACTTCTTCTCTTCGCGAGGAAGGAGAGAAGGCACAGTTGTGAGCAATCGCTTCGGGAAAGATATGATCCGCGCCTGCGGTTGCGGGGCAGCAAGGAGGAAGAAGCGGAAAAAAAGCAGGAGGAAAGAAGAAGGGATCCGACGGCGGTCTACCGCTACCGAGGCGGCGACCTACTGTCCTGCATACCACTATACTCGCGGCGCAACCTGTGCCGCGCGCGAGAGGGGAGTCGGAGTCGCGCAGAGTACACCCGGTAGATGAAAAAAGGAGCCGTAAACTTCCTTTTAACATGTGCTTAGACAGACCGGCGATTATTTAGCCGTTG